CCTATGGACAAACTGCCAGTGACATTGAAGCATTACAGCAAGCATATCATCACGTTGATCAGTCCTTGGGAGACACTGATGAGCAGAAATTGCACAGTTCTGCAGTGGCAGTCTCAGAAGGCTTAGGGCAAAGCATTTCACAAAATAATGACATCTACTCAAAAAACATGTCAACTGTTGATTCAGGTAAATAGCTGAAGGGAAGGCATGTATTGTGCAAGCCTGTAGAATGAGTGAGCTAGTAATAACTTTATTACTCTATTTATAAAACATACCTAAGTGTTGAGCTTTTAACAAGTATTTTTTCTAAGTTTTTTTTTATTTATCATTAATTAGATTTACCTACTGTGGAAGAATTGATGAAAACAATTAAAGGACATTCATGTAATATCAGAAGTTTTGATGTGGAACCTGAAAGGTATTTATTTCAAAAAGCATTTTAGGAACTGTAGTAACTTTAACCCACTGTTTGTGGAAAGCAGCTTACTAAATAACTTATCTGTCCTTATTCCTAATGGGAAGTACTGAAATTTTAGTATGTCTTGCACTGTCATTATGGCATTTGTAGTGAACTGTGAAATGAATGTACAGTGTTAATAAATGAAGGTACAGTGTTAATAGGCTTAGACCAGTGATTCCCAAACTTACTCTGAGTGATAAGTCGCGATATTTGCCAAGTCATTTGGAGGAGGGTTCCTTACTCTCCCAGCTAGGATCTTTACTTTCCCAATCTTCTGCTCTTTACCCTTCTCCATACGTGTATTGCAGCCCACATCCTATCCTAGCTCTCCAGCCTTCATAATCTTAAAATCAAATCCTCTTATTTTGCCTACTTTTGTGATTCTTACTGACCTATGCTCCATACGTCCTCCTTGTTTGCTGCAACTGTTGTGTCTAAGCCTTGGATCTGTTACAGGTTATACTTAGCAAATAAGTTTTGGGAGCTTGTCATGGAGCTGCACCCAGCAGAAACTGCCATTTATTGGTTTATTAGTGTTAATTGCATGCTTACAGATGTTCATCTTGTAGCCAAGTTTGGTATCTCCACAAAAACAGTCACTGCTGGGAAATGGCTCTTGTTCCACAGTGTGGGAGCGAATCTGTATGACTAAATCTGCAAAACTGTTCTTAAAAAAAGCCTAGTAGCTCCTTGAAGTTCAGGCAGTCTTTACAGCTGTTATCTAAAAAAAAAAAAAAAAAAAACGGCCTGCTTTTTCCAGAGTAATAGAAAAGCAAAGGGCAAAAGTCTTATTATATATGATTATATATGATTTTATTCCTTTTTCTTACAGTCCTGTGAAATTGGTAGG